CACGCTGGCTCTTGATACCACGTTAGAGGACCATCTCAACCAAAAGGTTAAGTTAATAGTTGAAGCCCAGGATCGATTTATATACTCTATCAAATTTCTCACTCCAATTCTTGTCTTGTACTCTTGACTTCATGAGTCTAGCTTGTGTGCACATTTTTTTTTTTTTAGAAAATTAAATGATTCTACAATACTTCGTATAGTGTAATTTCCACAAGATGACGCTTCAAAATGATCCGACGAGGTGTTGTAGATGGACAGGTAGTGTCACATTGTAGCATGAATTTCTCACTCCAATTCTTGTCTTGTACTCTTGACTTCATGAGTCTAGCTTGTGTGCATATTTTATTTTTTTTTAGAAAATTAAACGGATTCTACAATACTTCGTATAGTGTAATTTCCACAAGATGACGCTTCAAAATGATTCGACGAGGTGTTGTAGATGGACTGGTAGTGTCACATTGTAGCATGAATTCCAACGCATAGCATAAATTCTTGACTTTAACAAAAGTGTCGTTGACACTAACGAATAAGATCAAATTCTAATCAACTATGAACTCAATAAGATAAATGGATTAGATCATATCAAATTAGAAAATTAAGGTAAATAAATGGATTAGATCATATGGAATTAGAAAATTAAATTAAACACTACATAAGTGATGGAAGTTCTTAATTGTTGAAAGAACACGGCACAATAATTACGCTCTAACCACTCCCTACCAGAAAAGTAGGGTTAGAAATAAAAATACCTAATTCGACAAATTAAATGTTTTATTTGAAAAATGCAACCATTGTTTACTCTTTAATTTCCACGCCCTCCAAATAAGAAAAAGTCAATTTAGATAATCAAATGTTTTTGTAGCATTAATTAATGATGTATATTGTCCTTAAGCTAAGGGTGCGTGCACTTGATCATTTTAGAGCTTATTTAGTTCATCTTATTTTTCTTATATAATCTAATTTGAACCATTTTTTTTTTTTAATATGGTCTGATTGTCTGATTTGATTGTACTTTGACCTCATATTTACGCTAATGTATATGGAAAAAATATATCAAGCGGTATCTGATTAGATTCGTAATAAAATATAGAGAAGGTATTGGGTGCGGACTGCCGCACGCAAATTATGTGTGCGATAGGCTGACTGAAATATTTTACTTGTTGGCTGATATATTTCATTTGTTGGCTGATATGGTTTAAGTGTTGGCTAATATACTCCTTTTATTGGCTGATTTTTTTTTTTATTGTTCCTTTTGTTGGCTGCTATCAAACATCAGTTGACTGAATTTTTTTTTTTGGTTGGCTGATATCTTTATTATTTTGTTGGGTGATATGTATATTTTAATTGTTGGCTTATATAATTCATTTTGTTGGCTGATGTGTTTCATCCTTTTGTTGGCTGATATGCTTCATTTGTTGGTTGATATATTTCTTCTGTTGGCTGATATGCATCTTTTGTTGGTTGATATGTTTCATTTGTTGGCTGATATGTTCCTTGTGTTGACTGATACGTTTTTATTGTCTGATATGTCCCTAATGTTGACTGATATCAGACATTAATTGGCCAATATGTTCATTTTAATGGCTGGTCTGATATGCGTTATTTGTTGGCTAATATGATACTAGTATTTTTATTTCCTTCTCTCTCTTCTTTCCCCCTCCTCTTCTCTTTCTTTCTCACGCCACCACCCAACAACCCACGACCCTAACCTCGCGCCACCACCCAACCAACCACCACCCTAACCCACGACCCTAACCTCACGCCACCACCCAACCAACCACCACCCTAACCCACGACCCTAACCTCACGCCACCATCAACCATCCACCAGCCTAACCTCACTCACTGCACCAACCCACGACCCCTAAACACCAGACCTGTTACGAGCTCAGCCACGCAGCAAGTAAGGCAGCAGCCAGCCGCGCAGCCAGGCGGAGTGCCCAACCACGCAAACCAGCAGCGAACTCCACCGTACCAGCCGCTACTTCACATCTAGGGTTTCAATCGCAAATCGTCACACCTATCTAACCGCCACCAGCACCGAGGTCCACCGTACCCGCCGCTGCTTCACATCTAGGGTTTTGAAATCAAGGAAAAATAATGGAGTCGTCATTGTCATCTTGTCTTCATCGTCGTCGTCATCTCCTCCGCCGCCGCACGAAACACATTGGGTGCGGATAGCACCCAATAGTTTTTGTAATAAAATATATTTTATTAATATGTAATTAATTTTCTTTTCATTATGAAATTAAAGGTATTTAGTGATGAAAAACCACACATAAAACAATAAACATATGTAAGAACTTTTTTTTTTCTGGTCTAATCTGAAATAGGAAAAATAAGGTGAGCTAAATATGACCTTACTTCTTCCATCATCAAATAATATTTTTTCATTTACTTTTACATACTGTTTTAGGAAGCTGGATAAATAACTTAATAAAATAGTGGAATTTGGTTGATTAAAGGTAAAAATGTAAAATAAAATAGTAGGGATAAAGATCTTTGGGTGAAATAAGACTTTAATTTGAAGACCGATAAAAGAGGTAATAGATGTGTCAATCAGTTGAATTAATATGAAGCATTTGATTAAACTTAAGTGGCCTTAGCTTGTTTAGTTGACAACATAAAGTAGGGAAAATAGAAATTTATGGGAATTGATAAGTTGGATATTTTATGTGGTTGACACATAATAGCAAAAATGGAGGAAGTGGGAATTCATGAGAATTTCAACTTCCCACAAGATATGAGAAATAAATTACTAAAGGTCCCCCATTGTCAATCAAATTCCATAAGAAGTAAATTCTTATACTGTATTGTCAACTAAATAAATTAAGGATATTTTTAGAATTTTATATTAGGAAAATAACTTCCAATAAAATGCAACATTATTTTTGTCTACCAAACGAGAGCTTAGTATTTTCAATACTTTGGTTTTCTTATATGTCACATCAGTACAGTCCGTCCAATCATCAATTGGGTTAATCGTACTAAAATTCTCTACTTCGCTTTTATTTTGGTCACTCTAATCAAATTGCAAGCAAACCTTTTCTTGTGAATAGATTAGTTCATGTTTTTGAAAAGATTTTTTGCCATTAACTTGCTACAATCAAAGATAGCGAATGTGTAATTCGATTTTGATTTCAATTTTCTATATGCTAGTCCAAATTTTAAAAGGCAAACTAGATGTAAGGATGTCACTAAGGTCAAGCCTAGTCATATCCGATTATCCACCTCGCCCCAATTGGTAGAAGCTATACTTAGTGATCGTTTGTAAATAATAAAATAACTGGATATAATTAACAATAACATAGTTTAAATTTATAATGTGTATTTTATTAATAATTCTTCCGTTTCTTTTTAGTTGACATGTTTCTTTAGTCACGGTTGTCAATGCGTTCAGTAGTCATTCATATCTTTAATTACCGATAAGCAATCATTATGAAAATTTGATATTTTGAAAATATATATCGTGACGAATCTAACAAAATCTCACGTGACTATATTTTTCATTACGTATAAAACACAAAACACGTTCAAAAGGGAGTGTATGAATAGTGCTTAAGTCAAAACGTGTCAACTAAAAAAAAATTGAGGTAGTATGTTGTTTTTAAACGAAGTGAACTAAATATAATATATATTTTATTCATAATATGTAATAAAAACCTATTAATATAAAGTAGAAAAAATAACCTCATTTTTTGATATATTTCGCAAGCAAATTTAATATGGTGTTTATAATGATTGAACTAAAAATGACTATTTTTTTCCTCCTTATGTATACAACACAAAAATATGACTTCGTTCATATGTACTCCCTCCGTTTTTAAATATTTGCTTCATTTCTCCATGCGCGGAGTTTTAGGAGAAATTGGAGAAAGTAATAAAATATCGAGGTAGTGGAGTAGGTGGAAGAATAAAAAAATTATAAAAAACAAAAGAAGGTAAGAGAGTTGGAAGAGAGAATATGAAATTTATAAAATATGATTTATGTTGGGTCCACTAGTTGAGAGAAATGAATTGAATATTGTAAAAGCTTTCCAAATAAGGAAATGGAGCAAGTATTTAAAAACAGTCGGAAATGGAAAGTAGAGCAAATATTTAAAAACGGAGGGAGTAGCAATGTAGCATTCTCAATTTTTAAATCAAGTTGTTAAACTGTCCACTACTGACCTGAAACTCTGAGAATCGAACATGTTAAAAATCGATTATCTGCGACCAAAAACAGACCCGAACAGCTTTATTCAATGCAAAACCGAACCGATACATGGATTCGGTTAATGTTAAACTATATAAGCACAATATCTCGATAACGAACATAATTGTTCGAATCCGACCTGATGAAACTAAAAACCTGAAACTAAAACCGAACTGAATACGCTTTAAGCCTTTGTTGACCGAATTGAATACGCTTTAATCCGGTAAAAAATTGTTTAAACCAAAGCACATCATAACGCAACCCATACAAACCATTTAAACCGGACCATATACAAACAGCAAACCGTTTAAATTGAATTATTTAGAACATGTTATTACCCGTTCACAACTATTATGACACGATTTCTAAAACAATTAATAATAATGTAATAATATAATGAAAAAATACTATGAGTACCTTATAAATTTCTACAGTATAATAGACTAAGATGAACATAAGTTACATAACAAAACTTGAAACATAGCATGACATAGAATCGATAAAGATCTATATAACCCCAACACCGGAAACGAACTGATGTGTTTAATTGCGGCTCGATATAAATTCAAACTTGCTATAGCCCGACAAAACTCGTTTAAAACTGATGCACCAACCAAATGAACTTGTTTTAACTAGAACCAAAATTGTTTCAACTGGAACCAAAACCTGGCCGTCAAACCAAATTGACAATGCTATTCGTATGTAAACATTGTAACTGTCCAAATAATGCAATAATGTAATTATTTAAAAAAAAATTGTTTAAATCATGAGAATTGATGGTGAAAACTTTTTTTTTTTTTAAAAATGCAATAATGTAGTTTTTTTCTGCTTTGCTTTGCTATTGTAAAAAAAAAAAAAAAAAAAACTTTTAAAAGTGTAACTTAAATATTTACATAGAGCAATCTTTTAAGGAAAAAAAAGTTTGGATATTATAACCGGGGGATGCCGCTTTAACAGATAAGACGAGACACACGACTACACAACTCCCTTCGCTTCCTGCTCCTTCCTTCACTCCCAATTCCCACCGTCTCCGACGCCGGCGACAGTCTCACTTTCACCGCCGCTTCACTACTTTCTCTGTCACCTTGGTTAGTTACTCCCCTCTCTTCCTTCAATCTTTGTATTGGTTAGCTTTTGATTGTTGTGTTATCTTTATAATGTTCCCTTCTCCCCTGTTTCTTTCCCCAATTAGGATAATGCAGCAGAAAAACAAGATGAAAAAAGTACCCATGATTCATGAATTGAGTAAATTGTTGGAAAAATGAATATTGGTTACTTATGCTGCATATTAACTGAATCAATTGCATAATTTAATTGGTAGTTATTTGTTTATATCTATAATTAGCAACCTCATTTTGTTAGTTTAATTTTGTTGTGTTCATGACTTCATGGTGATTGCTTGTGAATTGCATATGGTGATGTAACCCCATGTGGTATGGTACACCCGAGTGTATAATGGACAAATTGCTCCTTTACCCTTCAAATTGTTGTTCTTTGGCCTAATTGTTTAGTTATGGAGGAGGGGTTTATGAATGAAAATTTAACACCAAAAAAGGGGGCAACACAAATTGAAGTTATTGGTGTTTGCTGAAATAAGCAAACCCTCCACAATTTTAACTAATGTTTGTACTATGTGTAAGGACAAACTATGTTTTGTGATAGGTTGAACATCAAACGGAACAAAGGACCGCTGTAATTTGAAGAGGAGGATGGAGGGAGGACCCTTGGTATTGAGTCAATGCAGTAGCATAAGTAGCTCAAAATTTCAGTCTAGTCTTAATCAGCATCCTTCAATATCTTTTTGGCCTCACCGACAAACTTCCCTTTCTCGCTTTAGTTTTAGTTCGAGTTCTAGTTCAATTAGCAGCAGTGCAGGCAGTAACATTTGCCATCCTAAGAACCTGAAACCCTGGTTGAGAAGAGAAGTTAAAAGCCAGCACTTGGTGTCTGGGGCTGGACCGGTTACCGTAAAGGAAATTGATACTTCATCATCATCTTTGGCAAGTGGTAAAAATGATGACACATATACATTGCCCAGAATGGATAAGAATGGAAGGTTTTGCAGTCCAAGAGCTGCTCGGGAGCTTGCCTTGTACAGTAATTTTAAGCATTTCTTTCCTCTTTTTTTTTTTTTTTTTGGCAACAATCTAGATCATTTTACTAGGTTTTTCGAATCAATTTGATTTGTTTTGAATATGAAAATGGGCAGGTTGATTGTATATGCTTCATGTTTAGATGGGCATAATCCAGTTCGTTTGTTTGAGAAGCGAATGAATGCCCCTAGAGGTAACTTTTGCTTGTTTCTTGAAAATTCTTGCTCTAATATTCTAATTCCAACCTCTTCTCTTTTGGACGGTTGGAGGAAAGCTGTGTGTTATCATTAACTGCTATGTCACTACAAATTAGAATCTAGGTACGTCTTCAACAAGAACTCCTTACTTCAATATGATCACACAAGGTTTGGAGGACCCCCTGTTATCACCTCCTCCGTTGAGGAAGCTGACCAACATCTCAGTGAACTTGAAGCAGAATCAGCTATTGGTAATTTGTGCCTTTGCTTTTATTTTGTATCTTTAGTATTGTTGAACGCTCTCAGCAGATGCCATTACTGTTTCTAGATTTCTGACTATGTCATTAGTTCATCCTTCAGTAATATGGTATGTTGTCTACTTGCTTAATTTTTGGATCATAATATCTCATTTTCCATATCATTGCAGAGCATATGCATAAAAAAAATGAAATTATCACTCATGTGTTAACTTTTGTTTCCCTAGTTAGTAAGTAGCACATCTACATTGGAAATTGGCTAGAAAATTTGACACCTCATATGTACAAGTTATGAGTTACACTGCTAATCCACCATACATGCCTTCTTGTGGTACTTGTCTAGTATTGGGCTTGGCCAGCTACTAGCTTTGTAGATTGTAAGAGTAAAAATGGTAGGCAAATAATTTTTTATTTTTTTTTATTTATTTATTTTTATTTTTTTTTTATTTTTTTTATTTTTTACTTTACAAGATGGCACAGTTTTCAGCTCCCTTATCCCTTATTCTTATTAGAATTCATGAACATTATTACTTCCAGATCATGTAGAAATCCATGCCGAGTCCTAAAACTCTGTACTGATTTTAGCAGAAATACCTTTAAATAATTATGTTTCTTGCTTTCCATGGAAGACCTACAGCTTCTGCAATAAACCTGGTCTTAATTGCAGTAAAGGACTCCATCAGTCCATCCAATGAATTAATGTTATACAAGTACCTCTAGAAAGGCTCTTTCCCAGGTTTTGAGGGGGTGGGGATAGGATGTATGCAGCCTCGTGCACCATACTCTTGAAATAACACAAAGGATATATCCATGGGAGCTTAAATGAATACTTCTAAAATGAGACTGCTATCTACTTTATTTTAAGAAGCAAAGACGCTTGAATGAACTGTTTTGGTTTAGTTTATTGCAATGTCTCATTACAATTTCATGCAATTTAGCTGATTTTCCTGTCTCTTAGTAGTTTAAATTGTTGAGTCAGTAGATCTTTGCCAAAAAGGCAAAAAAGCAATCCAGCATTTTCTTCAGCAAAGTACAGAGAGAACCCTTTTGTTTTGAGCTCATCTTGTCTAATCTCGTATAGTCAGTCAAAGCTTAAAGCTGTGCCTATGAAAGGCTTCTTGGTTTTGTACCACATAGCACAACTCATTATGGGCGTCATACCTTGTAGTAGTTTGTAGCACAAAAAAGTAGTGAAGACAATATTCTTTTGGAGTAGTTGATTCCTATTAGAGTGAATCTGTTTAATGGCTGCTAAACTGTAGTATTTTACTTATTCCAGCTCTTCTAGATATGTCTTAGACCAGGGACTTGCTATGTAATACTAGTATTGGAAAAAGGGATGTCAGTATGTCACTATTTAATTATCCTAGTAATCTGTATATGACATCACAAGAGATGCCTGCAAATTGCCAATATTTACTCTATGACGATTTTAAACTATTTTCAGTTAAGTAAAGGACCCTCTCTTCAGCTTACCAAGATTTTCTATCGATTTTCAAATTTAACTCCAAGCCTTCAAGCTCATGGCTTATGGTCCATGCCAAGATCAAGTTGTTTTGAATGTCAGACACTGAAACTATTGGGCAACGTGAATGATCACTGTGGACCCTAGACTTCTTATTATCTTTCAAAATGGCCTTTTTGTGGTGTTTATAGTTCGAGATTTGACCAATGTTGACCCTAGACTGCTTGGAAGCTGAGGATTTTTCAATCTAGTTTTAAGTGGAGATGTGCAATTTTCTTTTATGCGTCGTTGTGCTGTCCTGGTTCCTTGCGAATACAGATTTTCTTTTATTCCATGTGGGGTTGGAGAGATATGCTGAACTTTACATAGTGCTGATTTTGGGATCATAATCACCCTTTAAGGCCTTTAACATGAGGTTCTATTTCAACGGAAATGGAGCAATACTATTCCGATTAAAATTATTATACAAAGTATGTCTTTGCGTGAAATGGCTATTACCATTTCAAGTTTTAACCTGATTTGCTTCACATGTTTCTGAATTCTGATTAGTTCATATATCTGGAAATTTGTGGTCGTTCATGTATGAGCTTGTAAATTGCTGAATTCCAGTTCTCTCTGTGTCCTAATATGCATCATCCTTCTTACTTTCTTGTTACAGTGGTTCTCTTAGAAATTCGAGTTATATCTGATCATAACTTTTATTACAGAAGCAGAAGTTCTATCAGCTCCTCTGAGGTTGGTATATAGCAAACTGCTTCTGAGGCAAGAATTCTATTTCTCTATAGTGTGACTTTGATATTGTACTCTCACTGTGTGCTAATACAAGTTAATGCTTTTTATCCACTGTAGATTCACGAAGAAACTATTAGGTGCAGTGGTGGATAATTGGGATAACCATGTCCTCGTGATTGATAAAGTAGCACCATCAAATTGGAAGGTCTGCTTTACACTCATTATTTCTCTCGTATGATTCTTAGAGTTGAGGCTGTGAAAATTTTTCTGTTAGTACATTTGTGTTTTTATTACTCGTGCTTCTTTTTTTTTTTTTTGGGAGGGTGGGGGGGGGGGGGGTGGGGGATTCTTAACTCATTAACTACTCTATGACCACTATGTATTACATTTCATACCATTACTATGACTAATATTGCAAAGTCATGACTGTTTATTTGAACCTGTAAATAATGTAAGTGTTTGTTTATTAGAAACTGTGTCTAATTTTTTTTTTTGCAAACTCATGCTGTCATTTTGAATGCTCAATCACTAGAATGAGCCAGCTGGAAGAATTTTGGAGTTCTCAATTCTTCATTTAGCAATGTCCGAAATATCTGCAGTTGGAACACGACATCAAATTGTTATCAATGAGGTATCTTATTCTTGATTTATGGGAACGTGCCAATTTCAAATAGATGATACTTATCATAGATATTTTTCTGCACTTGAAGGCTGTGGATCTTGCAAAACGGTTTTGTGATGGTTCAGCACCTCGCATAATAAATGGCTGTTTGAGAACCTTTGTCCAAGAACAATCATGAAAAGTGCAATTCATGAACAAGATGCATATAGTAATTTTCAGAAGAGGGTATAATTCCTCCCACCTTCTGATGAAAGTTAGACACTGCTCGTGGAAGGAACTTGTATAGCTGATTGTTTTGGGTTTTCTCCATATAGCATTTTGTGCTCTTCAAGGCTTTATTTGTTGTTCTTTCCTTTGCAGAATGTAACTGAACTTCCCACAATGTCTAGGAAAAAAAAAAAAATAAAAAATTATATAGTAGTGCTGTAGTAATGTAGTGCAGAATCCAGAGAATTTTCAACTAGCCCAATCCATCGGTTTTTGAAAAGGGTGACCATGATTCGCTGTTGTCCATAAACACTTTAATGTGCTATTATTGAGTAAATGAAATTAACATGTTTCCTTTTCACCTAAGTGAGATAGTTTGGCACCATCAGTCTGTTGATGTCAATGTGTATAGGGCATGTATCGGTGAGGTTTGCAGCAAAAATGGGTTATGAGGTTTGGGCTTGGCTTGGCAGTCTATGACGATGATGGGGACGTTGTTGGGGCAGTTTGTAGTATGATGATAGCTTGGTAGGTGGTCATGATGTGGATGAAGCTGAGCCAATGGTAGTTTGCCAATGGATTGTTATTGTAAACGATACAAGTCGTCAGAGAATAAGCAGATAGCATAGGCTGGTTGCTGTAAAACTTCTGGAAGTCCGGAAATTGATGCTCCGTAGTTTTATCTTTTTCATGTATCTTATGCTCAGAGCCAAAGGGATGGTAAGAAGGTACCCTAGGTCCATGTTGATCTTTATTTTATCAGTATGTTGCTAAGCGTCACCTTGAATTGCTCCCTCCGTTCCACAGATTGATAACAGACTGATTAAATAGTTTATTTGAATGCTGCTGTTTTTTAACGCCCCTTTTAACATTTTGTTCATTTTTTCTAGAATATATTGCTACAAGTGATACATTATTGTTACTTATAGAAATGTTGTTCAACAGTAAAATTTCTTAGAGCACTCCCAATGGTGATCAAAAAATATGCTCATGGGTATTTTGGGTAGGCAAAAAATATGCTCATGCATTACAATGGTGATCAAATGAAGAAATGCAAAAATATACTCATGAGCATTTCTAAAAATGCCTAAGACTTGGGCAAATTTAAGGAAGAATAGTGCTCTGGTGGGCCCCACAATTTGCAATGGTTATATTTTTTGTAATGCAAATTGTGAAATAAATATTTATTAAAAAAAAATTAAAATTACCAACGGTCATAAAATTTAATTTTCTATAAATAGACATGCATTTTGGTATATTTTGGTATAATTTTAGAAATACCATAAATCCTCCATATTCTTTATTTTAACGATAAAAACGACACAAATAAAAAAAAAATAAGTTACACAAATTTAGACTAGTTTTTATTTATTTGGAGTAATATTGTTAAAATATAAATGAAATTAATAAATAAAGAAGTGTTGTGTAGGAGAGAAAAAGTAATGGTGGGGTATTGAAAAAGTAAGAGAGAAAGAGTAGTGGACAAGCATTTTTTTTGCTCACCATTGGGAGAGAAATTGTGAAAAAAATTTGCCCATGGGCAAAACAGATTTGTTGAGAGAGAAAGTGGGTGGACATTTTTTTGCTCACCATTGAGAGTGGTAATACTTTTTCTTTATTTCTTTTTTTTTTTTTTTGACAATAGCACTTTTTCTTTATTTCAATATGAAGTATTGTGCACAAAAAATCATTGGTTCTTTGACGATTTTACAAAGAAAATTCCTCTCAAAAGGAGAAAAGTTACAATAATCCAAAATAATAAATATAATGGATTTTTCATGAAATACCACTGAATTTTTCCAAAATTCACCATATACCACACAAAATTTTCTAATACACCAAATACCACTAAGTTTTTGGTAAATGTCACAACATACCATTAATGACTAACGGACGTTAAACATCAAATAAGTTCGGAAAAGTTGAATTCAAATAAGTCCAGCTCCGCGACTCATAGTTTTTCCTAAGGCTGTGCACGGTGCGGTTTGGATCTCAAACCACACCAAACCGCAAAATTGCGGATTGTGATTTTTTCAAACCGCACCAAACCGCAATGCAAAATACGGTTTGGTGCGGTGCGGTTTGCGATTTTTCCACAATTTTTTTTACCTCACAAATAAGATTAAAAAAAGTAGTTTATTTTGTGATTATAAAGTTAATATGCAAATATTAAAACTCATTTTTTTAATTCTTAATTAACTTATACTCAAATATTATGTCATATTAACTCTAAGTCTCTAAGAAGAAACAAAACTTGTCCACCTTCAAAAGTGATTAACAATTCTAGTAAAGTCCAAAGTCCTACTTACATCCAACATCAAAATAAACTAATAATGTTTAATATCTAACACACAACATAAAATACTTGCATCCTACATCAACATAATGGCTGATGTCTTGAATTACAATACAATTATTTTCACTAATTCATTAAAATGCGGTTTGGTTTGAAATTTTTTTAAAACCGCACCAAACCGCAAAACCGCAATTTGATCAAATTTGAAAACCGCACCGCAATTTCCAAACCACAAACCGCACTAAACCGCAAAATTATAGTTTAGTTTGCGGTTTGGTGCGGTCTAGACCGCACTCTACACAGCCCAGGTTTTTCCGATAAGCTTATTGGTACATTCCCGGGTTAAACACACAGCACCAGCTCTTCGTTTTTCTATGCCACCTCAGTCTAATGTCCTCTCGAAAATCGGATACCTCACTTACACCCAATCGAAAACAGAGCATAAAATAAACATCTTCCTTCTCACTTCTTCTAAGCTCCAGTAAGAAAGCAACCGTAGCCACCCATAACAATGGAGGTTTTACCCCGCTTTTCCAACCGCCTTCTTTCTCTCTCCTCCATAAACCCTAACTCCAAATCTCTCATTACCCCTTTTTTCCATCTCCAATTTTGCCAATTACCCACTTCAAACCCCTTACCCATTTGCCCAAACCCGCTCAAAACGACCCGGTTTTTCAGTACAAAACCCCTCAATTCTTCTTCTTCTTCACCTTCCCCATTAACAACTCGGGCAGGTTGGTTACTGGGTCTTCGGGAAAAAAACCAGCAGAAGTTGCCCGACTTGGTTAAAGCGGGTGACCCGGTTCTTCATGAACCGGCCCGAGAAGTTGACCCGAATGAAATCGGGTCTGAGAAAATTCAGAAGATAATTGATGATATGATTAAGGTTATGAGGGTTGCTCCTGGTGTTGGACTTGCTGCTCCCCAAATTGGTATCCCTTTAAAGGTTGATTCTTGACTTCTTGTTGATTATTTTTACTACCTCCGGTACCCAAAGTCGCAAAAAATATAAAATGGAGGTAGTATTTTCATTTCGATTGTTTGATTTTGATTTTATGTTTTATTTGGTGTACTGAGAGTCAAAGGATATAATGTAGACGTAGTTTGATTAATCACAAGTGTTGCAGACTTTAGCCAACTAAGTTTTGCTTGATAAGTTGATGATTGTGGCATTTGTGGGAAATGATTGTGCTCTCACAATGCGTGTGCCAAAATCAATATTTTGGTGTGCCTCAATCAGTTTCCGATAATTGTGTGTTATTTTAGTCCTTTTGGAACCAATGTTTCATATAGTAGTCTTGTTAGGGGTTAGGTTGCGTATATTTGGCCTCAGTAAGCCTTGTCCAGTATTAGTGCCAAAGTGATTTACCGTGTACTAACGTAATGTTTCCACTAGTTTTGCTCGTTAGTGGTAAAATTGCGGACATTTGGACCTCATGGAACTTTGTCTAATGTCTTATTTTCATCATATAAAATGATATTAAAGGTTTTGGAGGTGCCAAATCAGAATAATGTGTTAAGGATATACGAAGTATGTACCAATGTTAATTTGTTACACTTTATTGAATTTTTGATGACTACGCGTTGAATTTTGAAAGAATACAGTTCTGACCATTTGTGAACTTGGAAAACAAAATTTTTGCTTTCCTAACAGTGTGAACTGTATGAAAGCTGATATTCTAGAGGAGTCAATAATAAACAAGGACATTCAATTTCCTTTTGAGTGCAAGCAATTTGAGTAAAAGCAAGATCATTTTTTTGACATGAGAAGTATAGTGCTTGTGATATGGAATGGTTGTTTGGCAAATAACAATAAGCTGTTTTTCTTTTGTAATAGCTCGACCCGACTATTCAATAACTAGGTGCAAGCCAAATATGAGCTTAGTTTTTCATTTTTGTGTAGATTATTGTTTTGGAAGATACAAAAGAGTTCATCAGTTACGCGCCAAAAGAAGAGATCAAAGCACAAGATAGACGCCCATTTGATCTTCTGGTATGATAGACGACAAGAACATTCTAAACAGTTGTAATGGTTTTTCCTTTTGGTTTTTGTTTCTTCTAAATTCTAGAAAGTGCAAAGTTCTATCTATATATTGACAAGCTATTAGATTTGAGGCAGGTTATTGTGAATCCAGTATTGAAAAAGAAGAGCAACAGAACGGCACTTTTCTTTGAAGGCTGCCTGAGGTATGAGGCATTTCCTTCATTAATATTTTCAGCCTGAGTATCTGTGATGATAGAATAGGATCGTTTCCACCAAATGGTCTCTTGCAACTCATGTATCACAACTTGACAAGATATGTGCTATTAGGCCTATTACTGCTATATTTAGCGACATAGTAGCTGTTTTTGTTGTGAAGGTATCCATTTTGTGTTTACACCGTACTAAAGTGATTCTTTGCTATATGAGGGTCTTAGGAAGAAGATCTAGTATACCCCTTTTTTTCAACATACGCTCTGTGATATTACCACCTTTGTAATTCCCCTTTCAAAACATTGAAGGAGGATGACGAAAGAATGGAGAGCTCAAATATCTTTCTTATTTCTGAAGTTCAAATACAATCCAGGATAGTGTTGAAGCGTAGGCCATTTGTTCAAAAACAATCCAGGCGGAGTGAGACCTGCCTCAAGCATAGGCCATTATTCAAACGAAACTACCTGTGACATAACATAGTACTTCCTCCGTTCTTTTTTACTTGACCCGCTTTGACTTTTATACTATTCACCACCCCTCCTTTGACTGTCTTTTGTGAATAATATGTAAGGAAAAACATATTCATGTGGGATATTTTTGAATTCGTCTCAATAAGTACTATTATAGTATACAATTTTTATAATATTTTTTTATGGAAAATTAAAGTTATTGATCATTAAAGTTTTGCATTGACAAGCGTGATAAAATAAACAGGTCAAGTAAAAAAGAATAGAGGAAGTATGTTTTTAGCTGTAGCATAGGTTGGAATGGTGTTGGCATGCTGCCCTAATTTTTGCTATAACAATTATGTTTTCAAATTTGACATTGTTCTTCCTGTTAAATGGTGTGCCAAAACTCATGATACTTAAATATTCTGAATCTAAAAGTGTTGATGATTTACAGTGTCGATGGGTATAGAGCGGTTGTGGAGCGATATCTTGATGTTGAAGTCAAGGGACTGGATCAATATGGGCAGCCTATAAAAGTGGACGCATCAGGATGGCAGGCACGCATTCTTCAGCATGAGTGTGACCATTTGGAGGGTACCCTTTATGTTGACAAGATGATGCCAAGGACATTCAGAACTGTTGAAAACTTAGATTTACCTCTTGCAGTTGGCTGTCCAAAGCTTGGAGCACGCAAGATTTCATCTTGATAGATTAGCCGATGGAGGATATTTACACCAATTACATTGGTGAAATTAGCTTGACAATTTCCAAGGGGAACCAGCATTCATTTTGATTATTTTCATATTGATTACATGCTATATTTTAGTGAGAAAGATCTCTGTGAGAGGCTCTACTTTTTACAAGTTATTTATTCCAAAGGTACTTGGATAGGAGTATTAGTCTTATTACATTTTTCTCTTCCTTTTGACAAGATTACATCAGTTTGAATGATAATTTTGGTTGGTGTTTGAAATCTTTGAATGTTTAGGTTAATTGGTTGGTTTATATTTGACCTCCTTTCAAATCCCTAGTGACTTCCTTTGATGCGTGGAAAACTGGAAAATCTCATGAAAGTCCTGTTTTCTGTATCCAAAACTTGTGGGGAAATTCTCATGAAGTCTCAAAATGACCTTTCTCTCTTCAAAAAACTCAAAAATATTTATGATATAATAATAGAATTCAAAGCAAAATTATTGATTTACAGGCTTAAAATTTCCTTTCTAAATAATATAATTGATTTATAGTTCACTTTTGTTGCGCGCTAAGTTAATGTCAAAAAAATTCCCATGAGAAGAAAGCAAGGGCAAAAATTGAAGGGAATTGATATTGGGGCTTGTGTATTTGATCAACTACTTTAGGAGACAAGTACTTGCAGCCATGAGACATAGAGAGCCTTCAAAATTGCATCTCAATGTTCTATTTATACAGTACATATATTCGGAGTAGACTACTACTATGTTCAGGCACGTATATCTACACAAGGTAAGTACAACAATTCAATCCACCAAATTTTTAAAGCAGCGATGATAAGCAGTCCGCAATGTCTTATAGGGGAAAGAGCCCATGAGTCATGACATTGCAGAAGTAGCCATCCCGTGTCATATCATCAAGATCTCATAATTTGACATAAGAAGATGATTTTTCATGATCAACTTGAATACTGAAGGGCGTTGACAGTTGGTTTTTGCTTGATCATGCTTCTGCTGGTTGGAAAGCAAGGGGAAGGATACACAAACCCAGAACTCAAACCTTGGGCTTGCCAACAAAATGCTGTTGTGATTCCTGTGTAACTTATGAGCTGGATGTCCTTCAAATACAACCCTTGGCAAGGACTGCTATCGCTGCAAGCAAATCTTATTGCTTCCTCTGACCTTGATGTTCCCTTGATGCCCACAAATGATATTTTACCAATATGTACTGCTGATGTCTGCAGGTAAATGAAATGATACTCCAATTACTCGAGTCAAGCCAGTGGGAAACTAATTGCACTGTTTTGTATTAACTGACATAAGGTTGAGGATTTTGGGCATAGAGGAAAAACACGAGAATATTGTTTTATGCTTATATTTGCTAACATCTGAGGGAGGCAAGTTAGTGGAGAAAAAAAATAGGGGGATCAAAAAGCAGGCTGACTCTCATATGCATATGTTGATGTGTCCCAGTAAACCAACTCAATCTCCTCAATATATATCTGAATTAAACTTATATTACGCACTACACGGAAATGAAAAGATATGAAGAGCGTGTATTAGAATAAACCTAAAACAACCTTATTCCTGACAGGAACCCCACTTTATATGTCAAGGAACAAAATTTGCAAAATTATAAGCAGTATATGTAATACCTGCTTTTTACATGGCTTTGGAGAATCACAATAGTATTGATCAATTATAATCGGATTAGAGACATTTTCCATCCACACATTTCGGAAAGTAATCCTTGTCACATACCCAGCACCTCCCTGTCACAAATGACATCTCTCATTACTGTGGCAGGATCTTCACTGGGCTGTTTTTGTTGAATACAAAGGTTATTTGGTTACCTGCTCCATGGAAGTAATTTTATTTTTTTCTATCATTTTTATCATTGTGAATTTTCTACTCATTATAATTGCTGCTGTAGTATGTGAACATGCTAAAATCTATATTACATAAACCATTACCTGCCAGGTTTTGATTCTTACACCATTCTGAGTGTTAGATAGGTACGCCCCATCAACCAATACATCATCCACCTCTGCCCATTCATGCTGTTTTCCCAAGCTTCCAATACTAGTGGAAAATGCAAAGAATGAGCCAAGTTCTCGAGGTAGACAAGAGATACAACAAAAAAACGTAGCAAGAAATGGTATTGTCAGTACCTTTATGCCATAGCCTGGGCCACAAAATAGACCTGTGATTACGACTCTTGAGGAATTGCTCACAAAAGAAATACAATCATCACCTGCACAAGTATGTGAACCTTTCAGAAAAACTCAGAAACACACAGAAATGGAGTTTGGTGAATGAGAAAACAACACAAATTATGTAAGCCGCAGTTGATGTTTTGCATTGGCCTTCTTATCTTAAAGGACTGCCTTTTTTTTTTTTTTTTTTTTTTTTTTGGCACAAATTATTCATCTAAAGGTCCTATTTATATGTCTACAAACTCAAAATTAAACACTAAATGCAACATGTGATCCCTTGATTCGCCACAATTATGGACCAACCAGCAAAATGACTCAGGCGTACTAACTAAAAACCCACCATATCAGCAGTTGGTCATCGAAAAACTAAGATTCATGTATTTACTAACTGGAAGCCAAGTATTCATGTGGGCATACCAATTTGGAGCTATCACTTTAACACAGAAATTTTGATAGCAGTAAAAACACCAGTAGAAAAGTAGCTAACCCGTTCTAATATTACTATCAATGATTTGCACGTCAGAAGAGGCACTAATGTGGATTCCATCAGTATTGGGGCTTTCAGCTGGTGCTGTTAGTGTGACGTTAGCAACCACAACGCTATGGCAATTGGTAAAGGACAGATGTGTTTGTTGACTGTCAATAATACTGATATTTTTAATTTTTAATTTCTTGCACCTGTGAAAAATAACAGACTGCAGCATGATTAATCTAAGCTTGCAAAAACTACATCAATTTCTTCAGAAGTAACCTATAAGATCCACAAGGTACACATACAGTTATAAGAGCCACAAGGTACAAGTTAATTTTATGATTCAAGGAGTGTCAAAAAGAAACTAAACTTATGGCTTGAGCAAGTAGCAGAACTTACAGTGGGAGCATGATGGCAAGGCTGCGAAAATCAACAGGACAAAGATATGAAGAAGATTAGATGCATCATTAAACAACATTTCAAAAGACCGAAAAGAAGCTCATGGACATAAGAACAGCATACCATTGTCTTATTAGTCTTACAGGATCTAGCCCACCATATCTCACCCATACCATTAATTGTCCCCCCACCTTCTAGAGTTAGTTTCTTTACACCATGAAAATAAAGCCATTTTCGAGGGTTCAAACCAAGCCATACTGCAGGATCTTTAGGAGCAATAATTGCTCCAAGTATCTGTTGAAGACACAAGTGAAATTCTTCAAAATAAAATAATAATAATAATAATAAAAAAGGCTTTGTTTCCCACAATCATAATGGTAATCTATCCTTGAGTTGGAAAAGACAGAACAGAAAACAGCATCACAACGTACCCTTAGAGTCACCTCAGCTCGACACCCAGCAAAATTTATTGGCTGCACCAAATAAGTAAATCCCTCTGGAATTATTACTGTTGATCGCTGAGATGAAGAACATGCCACTTTCCATGCTTTTCTGAAAGCCTGCAACGAGGTAACGCATTTGATGTATCTGACAATCGATTTAGCAGACCAAGTATCTATTGGCAAAGAAAAGTTTCATATTTCCACCAGACCACCACTGAAAATCTGATTGTCGAAGGAGATGGAAAGAATACCAAAACAGGAATCTCAATTCACAAAAAATGCTAACAAGTAGCTAGCGAGAGATAACTTCAGTTGCTCTATCTTCCTGGACATGACACATGATATAATTTTATTGAAAAATCATCCATTTTATGACATACTCTTGTCAATGATAAGAAAAGCCCCAAGGAGAGGATTCTCCTACATTCAACAATCCACAAAACGCCATAACATATCATTATGGCACATTTGACTATGACGTCACAAGATAACAATAACAATTAACAAGATAGTGTGAAATTTTGGCAAAATATACCTAAAAGTGTATGTCATAGGGAGTTGGTAATAGATCACCCCCAAATATGCTATTTTCTTCATTAATTCTCTTAGTACTCTCCCCAGCGAGCCGTTAGTAAACATTTTATCATATATTAAGGCTCTCATCTGGTCCATTATCCCATTCAATCCTAGTAAACAAAAAAATTACCCTCTGCCCACAGTGCCAAGGATTATTGGATTGCTTGTTCCAATATAAAGATGATATCATATAGCACATACAGTACTACAGTACACTTCATAGTTAACAAAAGAACAAAGGGAAAGTCTCCCATATCCAAGCCTTAGATCAAGCTATTCTAAACCCAGTAGACTCCCATTCCTCGAATACGAGCATATGAGTAACTTAGCCACAGTCACATTCCTTATTGCAATATGACATTCAGACATTCAATTGGAAGAACAATCCTAAGTTCCTAAGATGACTTCTGGAATCCCCGAAAATGCACATAGACATACTCTTTAATTTTCCAAAATTACCTAAAATTCATCAGTATCACTTCATTTAGTAGGCTTGATGCTAACAATATAATCATCACACCCCACCCAAAAAAAAAAAAAAAAAAAAAAAAAAAACAGCAGCAGCAACAATAAAAACAGATACATTGGTGATAAAATCAAATAGATAAAGCAAACAAAATGTAAAATCCATAAATTTCACATTTTTCTGACAAAAGGTTAAATGGGTATGAATAATTATACCTCAGTATCATCATGAAGGCCATCACCAACAGCACCATATGCAGTAACATGATGAACAAACCCTTCTTTTCTGGGTGTTCTGTTTCTTGAAAACCCAGATTGTGGGAGCTCAATTAAAGACTCAAATTCCACTGAACTTGTAAAATCCAAGAACACAATTATAATAACTAACAATATATAAGTATTTCTAAAATTATTGGGAAATTTCATTTGCCAAATTTGGAAATAATTAAATAAATTGTAGCACGAAATTATACTAAACAATTAACGAAGCTTGCTAATGATGTATCTGTCACTTTCGTTCTTTTTATTTTTATTTTCTGAGATTTGAAGCCGACAACAAATCAAATGACGTAAAAACTTTTTTTTTTTTTTCCTAAAAACAAATCAAATGATTTGAGATGATTTATTTTTTTTCTTTATTTGAGCGAGCGAAATCTTTACGGGATGTAATTTTCTCTAATCGAATTTTATGTATTAAAGATAAAAACAATTCGAAAAAGATTTAATATTAGGAGATTTGCAAGTTTACAACTACTAATCCCAATCTAAAATAAGATTTTAAAGTTAGTAATCAAATAAGTTTAATATAGAGTATAATTCTAATATGACTCAAACTTGATTTTTCAACTACTATATATATAAGACCAAATATCTCTTAATTAATTTATTTTTTTGTATTAATTTCTTTTGTTGTTTGGTAGATTAGTTCGTTGATGTATGTTTTTTTTTTCTCCTTGATGGAAGAGAATAAAAAGAATTCGACTATTGATAAACAAAATTATACCGAACTTGAATGGAGTGTTGCAAATATTTTATGCGACATGAAAAGGCTGGTGAGAGAAGAAGAAAAGCAAAAATATACTAAATGTGAATTAAGTGTTGCAAAAATTTCATGCGACATGAAAAGACTAGTGGAAGAAGAAGAAAAGAAGTCCAAAACATCTAATTCATCATCTCATCCTTTGTCATCTCCTCCTCCCACTACAACATCATAAGGTCATTATAAAAGGCTTCTCTTTCAATCGCATTTGCGTTCAATTTTAGAAGTTTTATTATATAATAGAAAATAATTTTTTTTGTTTTTCTTGTTCTTCTTTTTGTTTAGGGTTAAGAGTTTTATTTTTTTGTTAGTCATTGAGAAGTCTCATACGGATTAAGAAGTCAGTTTTAGAATAATTAGTGGAATACTATCTCCGTTTCACAATAGATGTAACGTTTGTCTTTGTATACTATATATCAATTTATATGTTATTGTCTAAAATTAATATTAAATGTACTATGTTAAGAAGTAAAAATATTGCATTTATTGTGAAAGGAAAGTAATAAAATTTAGATATCTTCACAATAAATTAGTAATCGTATAAGACAATCACACCTAAAAAATCTAAAACTTGCGTTAATTAATTTAAATCTTATTTTCTTTTGTTTATTACTTTGTACGGAGTATGTGTTTACTATTACCTCTTTTTTCATAGCACTTTTCAATGGTTTACTAACACTACATCACTAGCTATACGGAGTATGATTCAAGTAAAAAAAGTAAATGTGCACAACTAGGTATTATTTATTTATTTTTTTAAATAGCCTCTTTTTCTTAATATATTTTTTTTTCCCCTTGCTTATAGTTACGGTACAGGAAAACCATAAAAATACGGAGTCTGCAGCTTGTGTTTTTTTTTTTTTTTTTTTTTTTTTTTAAGATAATGAGAACTCTGTCCATACTTCAATCCTCACAGTTTTTTGGTCCACTGTCTACAGGTCAGACACTTTAAGAGTGAAGGTCTGAGGGGAAAGAGTTGTGCTACGTTGTTTTTTAGGTTGATGAAATACGGAGTGCACAGTTCTGTATTAGTTAATTAGCTTAAAATAATAATCCAATCCGTCAAACTAATTGATTTTTTTTTTTTTTTTTTGGAATCATTTTCATCTTCTCTTTTTAACACACAATTTATCTTGATCGTTGTACTACTATTTTTTTCAACTCATTGAATTTGTTCATAGAACAATGAAAGACCAACTATTTATATCCTTAATTAATTTTTTGTCTATATATGGTCGATTAATTGAACCCCATCAAATGCATCTTTTGAAAATTTAGATTTGAGAACTACGGCTTTAAAAAATGTACAAAATCTCAATTATCATTATGACATTATCAAGCAAGTAAGAAGGAATAAAATAGTAAGATAGCTTAAAACCATAGAAATTCCAATATAAATCACGAATAGGTAAATAAAGTACTAAAGATAAGAAAAGATTCGAGGAGCTAACAAGTTAAATACGATGTATCTAATACAAAGTACTCCGTATATATACTCGCCTTTACTAAATGTGGATTCAAAACACTGATTAAGGTAAGAAATGTGGTATATGCTAACTAGTATATATGCTTTGAAATCCCATAGCAAGGGGCTATAAGGGATGCACAGTTGTATCCGAGTACAACAGTTTTTTACAAGATATATTGATCACAGTACCTATTTTGTGGAGGAGGAAGGGGCAGTTTAGAAAATCCAAATTAAAATTTAAACAACTTTAAGTGGAAAGGAGGCAAAATTAACATGTACATTTCCATTTACTGAAACAATGGTAATATACCCCATTGATGCAGAAAGCCTTGCCCTGTGGTAACCTCGAGCACCAAAAGAACAAGCACGGCTAACATAGCTGCTCTTCCATTCCAAGTTTCAGCACTCTTAGTCCAACCCCATTCCCAAACTGTCACTGGAGGAGGTAGCTCTCTGCGTTGTGAGTCGTAAGTTGCCAAAAGCTCTTCTACACTGCCGAGTGGAACGAGAGACTGCATAATACCAATCCTTTGTTTTAGATAACCTATAGAACTAACCCATGCTTAATGCTAAGAGTCTCCTGCCATCAAAAGACGAGAAAACGAGAGCAGGAAACTATGCAGATCCTCTACTTGGAGTGAGGCATCAAGGGAGAATATCAAAACTGAGATACTCATTGCCTCAACCTCAACATGCCACTTTGCCAGTTTAAGCATGATGGATAGAGATGATCATTTAATTTAGGTCAGATTTGGGTGTGGAGTCAATCTGTTCAATTTCAGGTTAGGTCAGGTATGGTCAAAATTAGGTAGGGTCTATTGCCAACTTGCTTATCATAAACAATCAATCAATTTGTAATCATTTACATTCCAGTCTGGGTCAGTTTAAGACGGATTAGTTTCGGTTTGGATCACACTGAGTTACCTACTTTTGCGTATGGTGTGGGTCTAGCTCAGGCTATTTCAGGTTGGGTCGGTTTAAATTACTACTTACAGTAACCAAGCAGTTTGTGGTAGAGTGAGCTGAAGAAAAATTGCAGCCCACTACAGGGAATAAGATGCTCCATGTCTATGCAGGACATGTTTGGTTGTTCAATTGGCTATGCGCCTATACCTATATTCTATGAGTTGTAATAGTTTGTTTTGTATCAAGTGATATAATGCCAATATTTCATACCATAAAAATGCAATCAGTCATACAACACTGAAGACAAAAACTGTTCACACAGGAATCGCAAAGATAGATCCTACTTCTATTAATATAACCTCAAATAAAAAAGTTACTATTCTTGCAATCACGTCCAAAATTTAGAGCCCTTGTCAAATGCTTGATTTGTTTAATACTTAGCCTTTTTAAAGAAGTTTTCCAATGCATCTTGAACTTCCTATATAGACCTATCTTTGGCACTGTATTATGTTCTTGTTTGCTAAAAATTATTTGTCTTTCCCAATTGTATGTCTAGTATGTTACCTGGTTCTGAGTCTGACCATGTCTTTTTTGGTCAGTTTTGCAACATGTTTTGAAACCAGCACAAAGTTTAAAGTCTTCCATACTGGATGTAATATCTACTGATAGCCCCGACCCCAAAATAAGAACAAAATAAATGCAATTTTACAAGATATCCTCTAAGAAAAAGTGCTAAACAGATAAACAGGTATACATATTAGAAAACTTAAATTCATACCTGTCGTGCTTCAAGATTTGACACTGCCATTGCCCCCACATAGGGAAGGCTTTCAATCACAGCATCAGCCAGATCTGAAATAAATGTTGGTTCACATCCTAGGGCAGGAACACGTCCCCAGTTTTCTATTCCTGATTCTAGAGCTAATTCCTTGTACTCCACATCAATTTCTTCCAAAGTTTCAATATGCTCACTAACAAAACTGATGAAGTTCTTTACGAAATTAGTAATTATAAATCCTGTTGATTGTCTCCAAACAAAAACATTCATGGATGAATTGATTTTTAAGGAAATGGAAGTACCTGATTGGGACAGCAAGAAGACTTTTCACGCCTTTCTTTCCAAGGTCAATAATAGTATCATCTGTATAGGGCTTCAACCATTCTACAGGTCCAACCCTACTCTGTACAAAGATTCCAAAGTAATCCAAACCATCAACAGTGATAATGGGCATTAAAAGTTTTAAGTGAAAATGAAATGGTAAGCACAATGTGCAAAAACAACCTTCCCTATCATTGCCCACCCAGAACCCCCACAAACACATACCATGAACATAATTAATATATCGTACAAAGCATACAAACATAGAAACAAAGTTTACAAATATAAAAGAACCAGAGAGCATTTAAATTCAATACCTGGTAAGCAAGAGTGAAGGAATTGTAAATCTTTCTCTTTTCTAATTCTTCCATTATCAGGTCAACACATTCTTCCATCTCAGCCTTGTATGGGTCACCAGCTTCTTCAACATAAGCTAATGGCACACCATGAGCACTAAAGAATATCACAACCTGTCACATACAATCAGTTATATACAATAGCAAGAAATTAATTTGAAGCTTTGCATTGAACAAAAATTTGATCACAGAATCCGGGCTTCCTGGGATCCGTGTTTCAGATGCTTGCAACACTCTCTTAAAATAGAAATGTCTCGATAATCAATACTTGAAACACAGCCCAAAATGGAAATTTTTTATACATACAATTACAACTCTACCCATACTTACCAGCCTAATATTATATGACTACCCCGCTCCCCCCTCCTTATTAAATTACTTAATTAGCCCATCCCCATCCAGTAACTTTCCTTCTCATTCTCCTCAATTCCTTCCCTTACCCATTCTCAACACCAGGTCCATAACCAGTAAACCACTCACCACCATTCCCACCCCAACCCACCACCAACCTCACCTTTAACCAAGATGTTGTAACAGAAGCAAGAAAGAGTGAAGAACAACAAGCACACATAGATTAATGAGGCTCACTAACAGAGTGTTAGCTACATCCATGAGCATGCCACAAAAGTTTTACTGAGGATATTACATAAATACATATTACAGAATAGGTTACATTAAAATATAGAGTATATATAGTACTCCCAGAACAAAAACCACCACATCCTTCACAAACCAACCAACACAAACACTATCAATTACCCTCATCAAAAGTTCGAAACAATCACCGCCTTCACATAAACCACCACCACCATCACCACTGTCATCAAAACCACCACCATCAGATCTGCAAACTACAACACCTCCACCTATCAGGCTATGCCTATCATCATCACCAATCCTCCATATTAACTACCCCTACTACCGAAACCACCATCTCCACAAAATATCACTATCCCCATTGTCATCACCACCCCACCCTCAGCACAATTACCACTCTGCCTGATACTATCACCACCCATTTCCTTCCATAATTTTCTTTTTTAGAGGGGCATATCTTCTTTCGAATGACAAAAGAATGGCGGTGGTGATAATAATGGCAGCTGTGGCGATTGTGAATGTGGGTTGGGAATTTGGGGAGGAAGGTGGATTGGTGGTTTTGTAGTGGTCAAGTGTGTCATGTGCCCCTCTTACACCGATCGGTTTATATACTCTATCACGCCCCCTCACATGAGAGCCATGGACCTCCCCATAAGAGATGGATGAGATTTGAACCCGAGACCTTTATGTCACGTTGGCTCTAATACCATGATAGAGGACCAACTCAACCAAAAACTTAAGCTTATTTTGGAACTCAGGAATTAGGATTAGTTTATATACTCTGCCATTGAGGTCTTTCTCTTTTAGTTACAAAACAGAAGGGAAAAAAAAAAAAAAAAAAAAAAAAAAAAGATGATCGACTTTTAAAACAAACATTTTATATAGGCAGAGCTTGTCCTATTCAGAAGAGTAATCAATTGAAAATTCAATACCAACTAAAATTGAAATTTAGCTCTGCACATAAAGGCCTAAGGCATTAAATAGCTAAAATAGCTCACCTCTTTTGGATTGTTGAACTTTTTCAGTTCTTTTTCAATCAAATCACCCATGGCCTTAATATATCCATCTCGCTGATACCAGGAAGGAATAACTGTGTGCTGCATGTTGACAAGGTAATCGTCCTCCCTGCGATAAAGATTTTATGAATCAGAACTTATAATAATTTAAACTAAGCCCACATACAGAATTTTGTTTATAAATATATATATAAAGTAAAAAGAAAAAGTTTATACCGGAATATACTTTCCAGAAGTCTCAAGCTTGAACCGCTGGTCGATATTGAGAATTGTGGGTAAAGAGGAAGCACAACAAGCTTTGTAATGCCATCTCGTTTTATCTACGCAATCAAAGAAAGAAAGCATAAGAGCAGGATTCATGTACTTACCCTAAATCAAACACAATAATCTGAAAGAATCAATCATAACATTTAGAATCCTCTATCAGTCAGGTATGCTCATTGTGTCCTTTAATGCGCAATGTCATTGCAGCTAAGCCAAATATTGACAGTCAAATAAACTGAAAACAACAACAAGATCCATGGCTTTTGAAACATCATCTACAGAAGATCCATGGCTTTTGAAAACATCATCTATGGAAAATCCATGGCTTTTGAAAAAATCATCTACAGAAGATCAGAACCACGAACCAAATCTCATGTTAGAAAATTAGGTAACACTGCTCTTTTTAACACCATCTTTCAATAAATTGAGAGACAAACTGTACAAAACACTACTAAAGCTCAAAGTGACTATTTCATCTGCTCAAATAGGCAGCCTCGTCATTCCTTAAAAACAATGAACTTTTTATGTAAGGTTAAAAGACTAGAAAGAGAGCTTATTAGCATCTGCATACTTACTATCTACTAGGATAAGGAAACTCCAGAATGCAACCTGCCTCAAAATCTATTAGAGATCTT